CAAGCAGGGCCAGCAAACCTCCTGACACTGAGCAACCTCACACACTGAGGTCCCTCCAGGGCCAGATGGCGGCGCTATGCCTCACAGGACTGTCCTCTCCAGTCTCCGTAGTTCAGGCTGCCTGGCCAACATGAATGCAGTGGCCTGAGGATTGTTTTAGAAAATAACTTTGTATTTACATTGTTTTTTTTTTAAAGATTTTATTTATTTATTCATGAGAGACAGAGGGGGAGAGAGAGAGAGAGAGAGAGAGAAGCAGAGGGAGAAGCAAGCTCCCAAGGAGCAGGGAGCCCGATGCGGGACTCGATCCCAGGACCCTGGGATCATGACCCAAGCCGAAGGCAGATGCTTAACCATCTGAGCCACCCAGGCGCCTTTTTTGGGGGAGCTACTCTATGAAAGCGTATACACAGATTGTGTCTTTCCATAATGTCAGCTTTATTGAATCATAAAGCAAGGTTAACATAATGGTAAAAGCAGTTTCAGAATTCCAAACTCAATGACATTTCACTGTGCATTTAACTTGGCTTCATAGACAACACACGAAATATAAAAGTCACATAACAAACAAGATAAAAAATAGGGTAAGTTAATGAACCCAATGCAAAGTCAGTCTACAAGCACACAGCTGAGATGAAGTCTCGGCCGGTGTGGGTCCACTCAGTGCTTCCTGCTTAGTATGTTCAAGCAGGGGAGGATCTCTATTATGTTCAAAGATCAATTGGGCAGTACCTTCGGTGGCAGTTGCCTTTCTGATGCGGTCAGATGTGGAAGGGTCAGTGTCTGGAGAATATGACAGTTTGCTGCGAAAATCTTTCCTTTTTAAAGGAGTTTGATCAGTCTAGCCCTTCCAGACTTCGGATTCTACCGATCATCAGTTCTCGGCTCATCCAGGCTTTCTTGGCTTTGCTGGTCATCACTTCTGGGTGCCAACAGGCTGTGAAGAGTTTTAGTGATATTTATTCTCAGCTCATCACCCTTGTCTGCTTTCCTCATTCATGACATCACTGCTTGACATGAGTGACTCCATCTTGCTCTCCACATTATGTGTAGATCCTGCCATATACATAGTCTACCTAAATGTATCCACAAATGTGCATGCTTTCTTTTTTTTTTAAGATTTTATTTATTTATTTGACAGAGACACAACAAGAGAGGGAACACAAGCAGGGGGAATGGGAGAGGGAGAAGCAGGCTTCCCGCCGAGCAGGGAGCCCCATGTGGGGCTCGATCCCAGGACCCTGGGACCATAACCTGAGCCGAAGGCAGATGCTTAACGACTGAGCCACCCAGGCGCCCCAAATGTGCATGCTTTCTTAGGACCTTTTTACTATTCCTTTTGTGTTTGCCTCTTCCCTTTCTCTTTTCACACCAGCTGCCACTCCTCAACCGACAGTGTATCTTCCTTATTTTTCTTCATATATATATATATATATATATATATATAAAATCTTTATATATCCTACACAGATCAGTGTATTATTTAAGAATAATGACATCATATTATACATATTTTTCTGCATTTGGCTTTTCTCCCTGAAGAGTTCCTTCAGAAATCCCTTTAGGTCTTCTAGCAGAGCTCCAATCCGTGCTTTTTAATGGCTGCACAATATTCCCAGGTGTGAACACACATCATTTACCCAGCCATTCTCCAGCTGACAGGCATTCCCGTGTTCCCTGTTTTTTGCCATTCCAGATAATACTGTAATAAACATCCTAATACATATTACTTTATGTATTAGTACTTTTAGTTCTACAGAATAGATTCCCAAGAAGGGGATCCCCGATTATATCTATTTTTAATTAACAGAAATTGCCAGACTGCTGTCCTAAAAGCCTCCACATCTCCACTAGTAATGCATGAACATACCCTTTCCTTTGCTTCCCTTCTAGCTTTGGCTGACAGACCTCTTCATTTTTGTTAGTGTGATGGATCTAAAATGAGACCTTACTGTTACTTTAACAGCACTTCCCTGAATATAAGTGATGTGAATCTTTTCACAAATTTCTTGGCCATCTGATTTTGTTCTTAGGTCATTTGCCTACTCGTATTTCTTGCCCATTTTTTTTTATTGGGTTGTTCGTCTTTTTCTTGTCAGTTTGTAAGAGCTCTTTGTGTATTAGGGTTGTGGCTGAAGTTGCTGAGGCCTCTCTCCCAAGCCAAGATAGCTGACTAGGAGGCTTCTCTTCCTCTGTACTGTAGGGATAGTTGAAACAAGCCCAGGGGCTGTTTGGCAGAACTAGGAAGGCTATGATGACCTATGGCCACAGACTGCTGGTCACTTGTTTAGATACTTAGTCTGAACAGAAGACTGTATTGAGCCAGGATGCAGCTGTGTGCGGAGGACTGAGAAGGTGAGGCAGTTCAGTCCTGTGCTGCCTTCCACCGGTTAAGACCTCCGAGAGTGAAGGCCTGCCAAGACAGAGGATGTCCCTCTGCCGCCCTTGGAGGGGCAGCGCTGTGCTGGCCGACATTTACGGTGCTGCATGTCCCTGGCTCAGATGAGGCAGTCCACTAAATTTAAAGGGTTAAGACATCAAAATCAGTGCTTCTCACTCGTTTCCACCCTTGCTCTTACGACAGATGGCATTCATGTATGTGGCACTCCTCTGGGCATCCCAGATTTTGAAGAAACCCAGAGACATCTTGCAGGGAGGTAAAGCATGACAGTAATTGGTCACCCTGGCACTTTTAGGGGCACATCAGTAATGATCACTCTCAGACTCTGCCACAGGTAAGACAGTCTGCAGCTTATATACAGTTTTCAACCCCCAGCTCAAGAAAGCATTATCAGAATGCAAAGCAATAGTCTTGATATTATAGAAAACCTTTAAATCTCTTTCAATTTATAAAAATACAAGAATTCATAATCCTATTCTCTCCCCTTTGTGTCTATCTAGTAATAAAAAAAGGAACTCTGTAAAGAGAGGATTCTAATGTAGAAGAAATGAAATTCTAAAAAAAAAAAAAATAGAAAAAATTTTAGGTAAATTTAGGTTACCAAAAACAGTTTCTAATACTAAAATCTGGTCTGTTTACTAACCATAATGTTACATAACCATAATGTTTACTAAGCATAAAAAAAAATTATCCTGGAAAATGGTCTGTAACTCCCCTCCTCATCCTATTGCTCCCCCTTTGGGGACCTTGGGGATTTAGTAAATCTCTTGCAGGAAATCTAGCATTTCAATTTCCAAAGACTCTTTATACTAACTGGCTTTCATGAGAAACTATATTCAAATCAATGCCTGTTGTATCACAAGATATGTAAATAGCTAATTCTTTTGTTAGAAGAGGACTGGCACTTGTCTTTTTTTGATGATTCTGGTAAGTTTGTGACCTTTTTTTTTAAAATATGAGTGCTGTGTTAAACATCATGCCTGATCCTGACTAGACCAGCTTGGTGGGGGGAAAAACGAGATTTAGAAAACTGTAATGTATCTGTAACAAGACTCTTAGCAACTGAAATAAAAGCTTACACTAAACACTACTACTATTATAGCAACTTATTTTTCCTGTTCCCAACCGTGTCTTCCGTCATTCCCAGTTACGTTAAAAAAAAAAAAAAAAAAAAAAGATTCTGGAACTTTATCATCTCCACAGCTGTTGGTTCAAAACCTGACAGTACGAGTGGACACTGGCTATCTCACTATGTATCTTGGCCTTGATTCCCCCCTGAAATAAATTCTCAGAAGACCTCCAAGTCTGCCACGTGTTCTCTTAGTATTTTTAAATTTTCAAAACAAATTTGTTTAGAATTACACATTTGGTCCTTTGTGAAGTTACTTCCTGAAGAATAAACTTCACCTTTTCTATCCCTCTTATTTCTGTGATAAACTGTTTTAATGGGAAAGACTTTGCAATGATAGTCACTGGGTTGTGTGTGGATCCTTTCAACCACAGATATTTGCTGGACAGAGAAGAAGCTATTACTTTTCTTTATTTCCTTCCTTAATTAAAAGCATTGACAAAGCTTTTTATCTTTTAAATATATAGAGGGGATGAGCAATACAGAAAACTTCTTTTTGTTTTATAACTGGAGCAACTATGACAGGGTGAGAAAAAAAAAGAACACTAGAATAACATGGTGCTAGCCAGTATTCTAGTATCTGTTTAGGGGGCTGTTTACTGAATTTCTTTTACTCACTGCCTGTCCTCTGAATTTACTCCTAGCACTGCTGATGGTTCTTTAGAACTCAGGATTCATGCTACAGTGTTGCTACCTGAGAACTGACATTGGCTGGAAACTCTGAGGCAATGACAGGGACCCCCAAGGCCCACAGGACATGGCCTACCAACTAATTTAAAGGTAAAAATTTAGAAAACTGCTTTGTATATTCGTTTTCCTAAGTATATATATTTTTAAAACATTTTAGTGGTTTTTAGTACTGCCATTTTCCTCATAAGCCCATTGTTTTTAAAGTCACAAAACAGAGACTTGTATTTTGAAAAAATATTTCCTCACTGAAAGGTCTTTAAAAAGGCTGTTCACCACGGGCACTTACACCCCTCAAGTTTAAGAAACAAATTGTTCGTTCCCAAGGCTTTCCTTCTGGCTCGTTTCAACCGTTTGTTCCCTAACACTGAGAGCAGCAAACAAAAGGAAGCTCTTACTCTGAGAAGAGTAACCTTTTTAAAAGAGAGCGAAGGAGACTAGTTAAAACTCACACATACAGCACTTATTTAGCTGGTGCTTCCCATTTCTTTAGTATCAGTACCTGTGAGCTGGGGACCCGTCTGATCTTGAAGAGCGTTCCTAGTTAAGGGCAGAAGGGCTGGAGAGGGCTAACATTTCCTGAGAACTAAACCGTTAATAATATGAAAAAGAAACCCAGGTACCCCCAAATGAACCGTCGGATTTTTATGTGTAACAAAGAGGCGGCCGCCTCTGGCCACCGAAGTTGTGCGTGTGCGTGTCTAGTCGAGCGGCTGTCCTTACCTTCTCCCTCGGAACGCAGGCGCGGCGGAGAGAATGCGGAGTGACGAGCTGACGGCGCCCATGGACGACACCGGCGGGCCGGACGACGCGGCGGCGCTTGGCGGCCCGTGCCCCGGCCTGGCCCCGGCCCCTCCCGGCCGCCTGGGGGCGCCATACTGCGAGGCCTGGGGCTACTTTCATCTGGCCCCCGCGCGCCCGGGCCACGCCGCGGGCCAGTGGGCCACCTGCCGGCTGTGCGGGGAGCAGGTGAGCCGCGGCCCGGGCTTCCAAGCGGGCACCCCGGCGCTGTGGAGGCACCTCAAGAGCGCGCACCGGCGGGAGCTGGAGAAGAGCTCCGCCTGCCGCTCGCCGCCCGCCCCCCCCTGCCCGCCGCAGCCGCCGCAGAGAAGAAAACAGCCTCCGGCTCTTCTTGCCGCCCTTCTCAGTTGCTCCCATCTGTGCGCCCGCGCCCCTCCCCCGCCGCAGCCGCCGCAGCCGCCGCCCGGGCCCGCCGTGGCCAACGTGGCCGCCGAGGGCGACTGGGCGCGCCTGCTGGAGCAGATGGGCGCGCTGGCCGTGCGCTGCAGCCTGCGTGAGCGCGAGCTGGCGCGGCGCGAGGCGGCGGTGGAGCAGGGCGAGCGCGCCCTGGAGCGGAGGCGCAGGGCCCTGCAGGAGGAGGAACGCGCGGCGGCCCAGGCGCGGCGAGAGCTGCAGGCCGAGAGGGAGGCGCTGCAGGCGCGGCTGCGGGAAGTGAGCCGCCGCGAAGGTGCCTTAGCCGCCGCCTCTGCCCCGCTGCAGACTCCGCTCAAAAAAGAGCCCGAGGGGGAGAGGGACGGCTTCATAATCACCAAGGTCTTCTTGTAGGCTGTGGCCGCTTTGCGACCCCAGTCCCTCCCATGCCAGCGCTACTCCAGGTGTGGTCCGCGGACCGGCCTCACCTGGGAACTGAATCTCAGGCCCGCCCGCATCTCCAAATGGGGGCCCTTGAGAAGCGCTTCGGAGCAAAGCAGAACCAAAAATCACTAACGCTCCGTGGCCCGCCGCCCCCCCCCCCGCCCCAGGGTGCCTGGGAGCACAAGCTCCGGTGGCCTCCTTTGCTGTTGGCCTTTAGGAGCTGGTTTTCTTCCAACCGCCTTTGGATGACAGCTCGAGCAACTTGGTGAGACTAGGTCACCCGAGTCTCGTACCCGGTGACTTTGAAAGGACAGAAACTTCCTTGTATACCAAAGACTATCATACTACGTTCCTGTACACCAGCCAGGGCAACCCAGGGTGGAGGGGGCTTGGAAATGAGGATAAAGCGTTTTATCCAAGAAGAGTTTTACTCCTTTCCCAATGAATACATCTTTGGTAATTGGTTTGCCCAGCACGAAGTTCTGAAAAGGGGGCCACGTAGCTTCCACAACGGCTCTTTACCCTGTCCTCTCTAGTGCCTCATTGGCGCAGTCTGGGCGAACCCCTGTGTACTCCCCTCCCAGCTTGCAGACCGTACCAAGTGCACCCTGTCTCACCCCAGCTGTTTTCTTTCCGTTTCATGCCCAGTGTCAGCTGTAGAGAGTTTCCCCACTTTCCACCTCACACTCCCTTACTAGCAAAACATAACCTCCTCCCTCGTTAGGAAGGGAACTTTGGTTTCCCACATCTCCACAATCCTCGCTTCTGGGCCACAGTAGAAGGACGGCATCCCTCCCATCTGAGGCCACCTCTGCCTCTTTTTCTGTTCCCATCCATTCCTCTTCCACCGTTACTGGACCTTTGCTCCATTATTGTTTCTCCTTTCTTCTGACTTATTCCCTCCCTTCCCCAGACTACTCTTCCTCAGCAACACCCAGTCTGCCCTTGTACTAAAAAGACTTGCCCAGCCTGGCTGCCCCCACTGCACACTATCCAAGGGGGGCCGTTATCCCTGTTGCCTGTACTTCCTCCCATACGTGAATTCTTCACTAGTGGTCAGCTTCCCATCCTACCCTGGACCCCTAAGAGCTGAATATGATGATTTTCAGCCTTCATCTTGCTAGTAGAATGAACACCCACATACACCCTCCACCTAGACTGAGCAATTGTTAATATTCTGCCTTATTTACTTTTTTGGCCCTCTGCCCCAAACATGCATCGCATTTCATCCAGAAGTATTTCACCATATATATCTCCTAATAGCCTCTAAAATAGTCCTTAATCAAAATTCCCCAATTGTCTCAGAAATGTCTTTTCTAAAACAAACCAGGGTCCAAAGTTCACTCATTACTTTTTTTTTTTAAGATTTTATTTATTTATTTGACAGAGAGAGAATGACAGAAAGCACGAGAGGGAAGAGGGTCAGAGGGAGAAGCAGACTCCCCGCTGAGCAGGAAGCCCGATGTGGGACTCGATCCCGGGACTCCAGGATCATGACCTGAGGCAAAGGCAGTCACTTAACCAACTGAGCCACCCAGGCGCCCGATTACTTTTTGATTATAACTTTGTCTCTTTTAGTCTGGAACAGCTCCCTTGTTATTTTTTTTCCATGACATTTTTGAGAGTCCCAGCCATCTGTCTTATAGAATGTCCTTTATTCTGGGTTTGTCTGATTGTTTGCTTAAGCCAGTTTATGCACTCATTCTTGGCTCATCTACCTCTGTGCCGGTGACTCCTGGCTAACTCCAGCCTCGAGTGTTCTTCCCAGTTCAGTCCTTCACGTCCAACCCCCCGCTGCATGTCTCCCCCTCTGCTTGTATATCCTGCCACTGCTGAGGAAAGGGCAAATCCCACATTCCCACCCCTTACCCAAGAACTAACATTTACTGGGCTCTTAAAATGTACAGGTACATACTGCACACTGCATGCATTACGTCACTTTATTCTCATAGCAGCTCCCTGAGGAGGTATTAATACTATGCCCATTTACAACTAAGGAAACTGAGATACAGAGGCGTTATGTAGCTTCTACAAGATCACAGCTGGTAAGTAGTGTTGAGATCCAAATCCAGTCTCTACCTCCAGATGCGCTGTTCCTAGCTGCTGTACTGTCTCCCTTGCTAGTCAGTGAGCTGATACCAAGTTTCCTCCCTCTCATTCCAGGTAATATGTCGGTGACATTAACATGCACTGAGCATTCGCCATGTGCCAGAGCTGTGCTGAGCTTACAAGAATAACTGCCTACCATGCAGCAACCCCATGACATATGCCCATTTTGCAGAGGAAGAGACAGGCTCAGGGAGCTAAGTAATGTTGAGGCAGAGTGGGATTTGAACTCATGTCACTGAATCCTAGGTTCCTATTTCCACAAAGTGCCACACCTGTCTTCCTTCTCATGCCACCTGTCAACCTCAGGCCTCATTTATCATTCATCTAGGGTTCCTCTTCCCATCCTTGTCTTCCTCAACTGTCCCCTTCCTAACACTCAACTTGACCAAAGGAACTGTTCTAAGCCAACACTGATTATATCACAGTTCCTGCTCAAAGGCCCCCCAAGATCACCCATCATCAATAAGCTTCGATTTTGTAGCCTGACATCCAAGTGCCCCCACCCTGCTGCCAGTCCTACCTGCCCCTCCCCTACCTATGCTATACGCTCCAGCCCCGCTGGACTCCTTGTTCCTCCCGACATGTCCTCATCTTGGCTCCTCCATGCCTGTTTGCCCTCCCTCCACTTAAAAGGCCCCTTCAATCTCTGAGTATGAAGAATTCCACCCATTTTCAAAGACCAAGCTCAAATTCAACTGCTTGCATGAAGTTTTCCTTCATTTCTCCTTATTTAGAGATGATTTTTTACTTCTCTGGACTCCTTAGCATTTTATAATCTCGTAACACTTCGAACAGGCCCTCTGGCATATGGCTCTATGGGTTCTTGCCTTCCCTCTCCTGCCAGACCCGAGCCCTTGGGTTATCCTCCTATTCCCACAGTGCTTTGTATATAACAGCTGCCCAATAAATAAATTTGAAGCATTGAACTCAGTGTTTTGAAGGTTTTACAAGTTAGTTTTCCCACAGTTACTAATATAATTATTCATTTATCTTTAATTCTGAATAGAATTCATAGCAGAAAAAAATAGTCTAGAAGGAAATAGCAGTAATAATTTAAGCTGTTTAGTCAATAAAGATTTAGTAAGTATGCATTATTGCGCTGTTTGGTTTGAATCCAAATTAGTGTATCACTACTAGTATGTCATTATCAGGAATGTTTTTCTTAAAATGTTTTTCATTACACAAGTAACACAAATGCAATGCCCCAATCTAGGAAGAAATCAGAACATCCCCCAAATTCCTGTCACCAATAAAACTTCTACAAACATTTTAATGTATTTTATTCTTTTGTCTTTCACAATCTTCACATTATCCTAAAAATAGTATGTTATTTCTGTAAGTACTGAAATATAACTTCTTCATGTGGATGTGTAACTTGGGCTATAAGAGGAATTTGAACTTTTTAGAAGAAATCTTCTGCAAATGTTACTCTTCTATTTCACCAACTGTTAGAACTATTAATATCAGCAAAGACTGACTTTTAGAATCGCAATTGCTTCCTCAAGAAAGGTAAATACTGGGAGCACCAACAGCCTGTTCAGGGGCCTGACTAGTAACTTAGTGCTGGCTGTGGGAGTTAAGCAAAGAGATTTTACTTTCTGCTTTATATACTTCTGTACTGTTGTACTTTTTTATACCAAGCATGAATTACTTTTATAATCAAAAATAAAATTTACATTTCTCAAATGAGAACTGACCATGAGCATTCCACTTTCTTAGGTAAAATAAACAAAACCCAACACAAGGACTAATGTAATCCCCACTTTTAGAAAAGCCTAGAGAGAAATGCAGCCCTTGTCCAGTCTAACACTATCTTGACAGAAGAGAAAAATGAGCCCCAGAGTGGCTTGCCCACTATTAGGAGATAGTGGCTATGGTGGTTCACCTGACTCCAACCTCAACAGATATTGTGCCTCTTTGGCCTTAAGGACTTCTGCTGGCTCATCTGTCAAAGCCCAGGGGCTGTCAGGACCAATAAGCCAAGCTGGCCTCCAGAGGACGTAGAGACGGGTTATGGGGACTGCACTGGTTTCTCTGCCTGTGACCCAGTCGACTCACAGAGAGCTGTCATTGCTGATGGGTGACAGTGACACACCTCGCCTAGATCAGCAGGGCTTCTCTGACTTCTGTGACTGGCTTACTAATAGCACCACCCACGTGCTGCCTTTGAGAGCAAGCACACAGTGGGAGGTGGATGGCTGGAATAGGGATGCAGAATGCCCTGAACCCAACTCCCAAACTCCTGCCATGATGTAAAGTGATCAGTCACTTCTTTAAGTTTAAATTTGGCAGAGAGGAGGGGGAAGCAAAGCAGGGCATTGACAACCAAAGTTGAAACGGCCAGAGCCCTTTATACACCTAAGTTGTCATCCATGGAGCTGGAGAGGGGAGAACTGGTTTGGGCTGACTTTCTATTTTAAATAGCTGTCCATGTCTTTAACATCTTAGAAGGGATTCATAAAGACTGGGCTTTTGTTCTGCTGCCACTCAATAGGGAATTCTATTTCTAAAGGTTTGAACTTCTTACCTTTCCACAACCTAAATCTGCTTGTCTGCAAAATGGATGAGGTGATCATTAAGGTCCTCTTTGGCTCCAACATGGTATGATTACATGAAATACAGTTTAACATCAACTGACCTTTGAGTCAAGGAGTTGTTTGGTTTAATTGGATTTTCTTGGTCACTGCAAATTTAGAAGTAAATGTTGACAGTGACATGCTTATTCTCAAAAATACCAGGAGAATATCAAAGTTCTTCCATAGTAGTGAAGTGCTAACTCTTATCATTCACTCCCTAGAACTGAAGATGTGTGCAGCAGTTATGAGTATGCTCTCTTGTACCCACTCTTTTGTCCTCATGAC